TAGGGTTTAGGGTTTTTCAATTTTGTCCATGCATGGGATTATACAAGTTACTGTAATGGTTATGCAGGGATATATAGGGAGACATCGGGGGCACATAGGGACACATCGGGATATGTAGGGCTACATAGGGGAATAAGGATATGTAGGAAATATATAGCGGTATGACCCCAATAATGCAGCACCAAATGGCAAAGACCATGGAAGAAGGAATGGACACTGGGATGTAAACATGTTTTGCAGAGATTAAGGTTTCCACAAATCACGGGTCCCTTTTTGGGCGGGCCATTACGGTAAGGATTTGTGTACGTTGAGCCACTTGATTTAGTGTCTAGGGTGTACTTGCAGATTAGCAGATACACATGCATATATGCATACATTTGTTTGTGAGGATGTTGCGATGTCATGTGAGGAATGTGTGCTAGGTAGGGACTTAGCTTTCAGGTTTGAAGTGGGCGTTGCATATTTGCGATTTTTGCGGGCGCATGGATGGATCCAAGAAGTCTTCCTGTGAACTGGGCCATGCTTATTCAGAGGAGGAATCCTGGAAAGTTACTCTTCTGCCATTTGAGTTCTCCGTATTGAGAACTTTCTATAAGATCCGGGGCCCAAAGCACTAAATGCCGAAAGCAGTCATTTTATGCAGGACCAAATCCGACATCATAACTCCCACATTTGGCACAGACGCTCCCGGTTTCAAATGTTGTCGTCATGCCTGCACGCAAGCCCTTATTGATTTTCCCTGATCCCCATAGTCAATCCTGTTGATGGAGGAAGCCCGAAAACGCAAACCCTGACCCCTACACTGCGCTTCCGTGCGCCCTAGCTTTTCTGCTATCGTTGGGCCACGTAGGGCCGTCAATCCCCACCTTCCAAGAATCAGCCACCCCCTAATAAAAAGAAACTAACATAGTTAGCTCCTATACCCCAACCGTAAACCCTAAACCCTAAACAACCTTGCTTACAAACAAAAATTCTAAGGGGCAGCAATGATCCGAAATCCGGCGGCGAGTGGTGGGCCATTCTCGATAGACTCGCTTCGGAGGAGCGCGCTTGAATCGTGACTTCCATATCTTTTAGGTGGACCCCCCACCCAGTAATAGTGACTATAGGGGGATAATACTGATTATATTAGGGTCCTCTTATAATCCGATTAAACCACTATTACAGGGTGGGGGGTCCTCCTAACATATCTTTCTTTTGGTCTCCCCAAAATGGGTCCCTTGAACACTTTCGACGCAATGGGCTGTTTCTGAAGGATTATATGGTAGTTTCCCAAAATAGACCCGCAAAAACTACAGCCCTTGTTGCAGGGCCACCCAACAAAGGTCAACCTATTTCTGGAATTACCACATAGGCTCCAAATTGGGTTGCTGAACGTTTGTGTCGTTCTTTTTGCCAGCAGTCCGGTCCTTCTTATGAGAAGGGGTTTATCGGGAGACCCCTATTTGGAGAAATACCACAACATCAGGATGCAATGAAACCATGTTTGAAGACATCCATGCATAAAACATGGGGTTCATTCGGCACGAATGTTTTTTTTTTCGTGCATGCGATGGCAGAAGCATGGCAGTCTTTGTTTTATTTGTGTGCATGCTGTGTTTGCACTTTGAGCGTCGTCTGGCTTTCATATCTGCTAGTATAATATAACCCCAAGATAAGCCCCAAGTTTACTTTAATAGTATAGTAGTTTCCATTTTATTTTCCATTATCCCAATATAACCCCAATGCAACCCATATACCCGCGCCATCCTGTCTTTTGCTCAGATGGATTTCAACGTGTTGGCTGCAGCAGGTGTGTTTTAACACATCCTTGATGATAAGGTTTTGAGGTTGTAGTTGGGGTTGGGATAGCGCAGCTCGAATCCCTAAAGCCGCGCCTGGCTCAACCTCCTAGACGCCAGAGAACTGCAGAATTTTCTCTCCTACCTCGAACTTGTCGACTTTCATTCCGTCTAGCTTGACACCTGAAACCGTGTTGTGACCTATATGAACCTGTATTTTTATTGGTCTTACTTAGGCTTACATGGTTTTTCTTGTGCTAGAACCCCAGAACAAAGATTTGGTAATGCTTCTAAATTAATATCCCAACAAAGAACCAGAAGCCCTACACCTTAAACTGGGAGGACCCTGGCTGTGGCGCAGCAATCGGTTGCATGGTGGGGACCTGCAGTGTTCCAGATCAGGGTTTAGGGTTTCTGTGTGGAGTGTTTCGATCTTAGGGTTTAGAGTTTCAAAGGCAGAGCCTGGTAAGTCTTAGGCTGATAGACTCTCGCTGAGAAGTTGCGAGACTAGATTGAAAGGCTTGTGGTTGGAGACAACATGTGGTGCTCTTCGACAGTAAATCTGCTTGTCAGAATGGGATGCATATGGGTGGAAGAGTCTGGGAGCAGGGCAGAACGTATGGATGGTGCAGTCCGTGGTGGACGTAGAAGAGACATTGGAGAGTGAAGTTTTTGGCACTGAATCCTCCCTGACCAGACGGTCAAGTCATGTGCTCTCCTGAGAGTTTGTTTGCATGCGTGCAATGAATTAACCTTTCGTGGGCGACTGGCAGGTGTGAACTCAGAAGTAGTTTCTCGTGCAAATCCAGCATGAGAACGTACTTTTTGGTATGGACATCGTTGAAACATCCTTGGCGGCTGCATATCAGCTGCAGTGAGAACCAGCGTTCCCCCGAGGCTGGAAAACATAAGCCCTGTTAGCCCCTCGTCATTGTGATGCTGAATGGCTGGGAAGCGGCAAATGTGCCTTTGCTCCGGCAATATTCGGATAATATAGGTTATATAGAGACAATGGAAAGAACATGGAAACTACTAAGGAGATATATGAGGGCTATATAAAGGGGTTATTTAGGCTATATAGGGATAAATGAAAAGAAAATGGAAACTGCAGGGATTATAGGGGGTATAAGGGGGTCATCAAGGGTTTAGGGTTTAGGGATTGCCTGGCGCCATGCGCGTGACAAAAGTTGGAAAGTGGAAGCCTAAATCCACAACCCAGGGAAGCCTCGGATATTAAAAGTTCTGTGGTGTAGGGATGATGGAACATCAAATGTCGCAAGGTTTTCCCCATCGAGCTGTATCCCGGAAACCCTAAACCCTAGTCTCTTGCTGCCTCTGAACCGGACAGTCATTGCCGTGCCTGCACTGCTGTGCGATGCGAGTGTCTAAACTCTAAACCCTAAACCCTAAACCCTAAACTCTAAGGAGTAATGCCTAAACCCTAAACCCCAGACATCCCCGAAGGTAGGCCTTGCACTGGGTGACGCCTGTGGCGCACCGTGGGCCGGCGAGGGGATGGCTTTGGAGTTTTCGGGGGTTAAGTACGTGGTGGTTAGGGCTTTGGATTAGTTTTTTGGCTTCAGGGTTGGGTGTTGGTTGTTTGTAAAAATGAAGGATTTGGGATTTGGAGTTGGTCTGGGATGTCAAGCCTTGGCACACTGCGGCCTGTTGCTACACTGTGGAAGAGTCGTGGTGGTGTTCCTAAGCATTCTGATAGGTTCATTGCGCTTAATCCAGTAATGTATATTCATGTCGGGGGAAACTACATAAGTCCGGTTAGGGGGCTTAAAAGTAGGGTCATGAGCCTAGTGTTAAGTAGCTACTAAGTCCCATGCACCTTCAAGTGGACTCTAAGGTGGCACAATGACTGCACCTTTTGCGGTATTCCTTCGGGTTTAGGGCTTAAGGTCTACAGTCTATCCTCTCACTGTTGCAAGGGACCATCTGTAAAAGCGTGGAGTTGCCAAGAAACCCTGAATACCGCACCCACCACCTTATGACGGTCCCCCAAACTTGTGACTGGTTATTCTATCGTCATTGAGCGGTCGCAGGTGCGGTGTCGGCCCAGGAAGTTGTCCTGTGCACACGGGCATAAAACTACCATGGGCCACTGAATATGCACCCTATACTGATAAGGCCTAAGAAGCCGCAATAATCAATAATCAATGATCCTTGATAATTAGGCCTTAGGTTGCAAGGGCGCAGGGAGGTGTCGAAGCCCATGGTAACCCCATGACACTCGTCCCTGCGGGAACTCTTCTGTGACCTGAATACCGGGCTAAGCACTAGACGTTTTGCAGACGTCTCAGGTTAGAATTCTGCGCTGTCGACTCGCGCCTCCCAGTGCCTCGGCCCTTTTTTAGAGAAGGGGTTTCAGCTGTAGTGTCAAGGGTTCGAGGGCTTAGGGTTTAAGGCTGGCTCAGTGATGAATATGGGCTGTACTTTTGAGGTACCGGAGGCGTGAAGCCTTATGTTGCCCCTACAAAGCCACAGATTCCATCTGCCATTTTTTCATAGGATTGCCCATCTGTAGTAGTATCCCAATAAGTAAGCAATTCAGGTGTAGGGTTTAGGTCAACCCCAACCTGAAGCATCAGTAAGACCCGCTAGTCTCCAGGAAGAGGCGGACCTCAACATAGACCCCCTGTGCTTGGGAGTCTCAAAACGGGATACCCCTACATATTCTCAATTTCCACTTCATTTTCCATGTTCTTTTCCATTAGATTCTTCATCATAGGGGGTAGTGCCCCTAGACCCTAAGCCCCAAATAGTGGTTTCAATTTTCTTTTGCATTCTCCCTCTATATAGTCCCTAAACACCCTCAACCCTAAAGGTCCTACAAAAAAAACCATTCAACCCTCAACCCTAAACCCAGAACTCTAAACCCTAAACCCTAAATCCCAAACCCCAATCTGGGACGCCAGGATACGCCGGAGGGCGACTTCTCGGACGCCCGACGGCCTTGCCTCACAGAGCGGCTGGACGAGTCCGGACAGCTGCTTGGATCAACTTCCCTTCAAAGAGGATATGCAGATATAAAGGGACCTGTAGGGACACACAGGGTCATATAAGGATATGTAAAGGGTACTTCATGTACATGAAGATTATGTAGCATTCAGGACTTAGGGGTTTGGGTTTTTGGCTGTGGGGCTGCGAGTATGAGTGTGTGTGGTTTAGGCTTTTGGGGGTTCGCTCTGGGGGTTAAGTGTTTAGCGCGAAAGGGGTTTAGACATCAGTTTTTTGGATTTATGGTGCCGGCTTTCAGGCCTGGGGCACACCGCTCAGAATCCGCGGCTTGAATTAGAGATGGTGTGAAGCCATCTCGTCTGAGTTACACGGAAAGCCCATGAATTAGATGGGGTTGGAGTTTGTAGTAGGGATTGCGGCCTAATGGCAGGGACTTGGGGTAGGGACTACAAGCTAGTGGCAATGCTGGAATTTGAGAAGGCTTTGCAACATTATGGCTCTTTTCTTTCAATTCCCAAAGCATGGGCAAGAAAATTCCCTGGAGACTCCAACTTGCAATTTGCACAGTCCCAAAATAGTTGCGCACGTTTGAAAAGAAGTCTGTTGCACCGTTTCAATGGGTAGTTTCCCAAAATAAGGGGAACCCAACATAGACCCCAGCATACTACATTTTTTTTTCCTTTTATGGGGCCGCCAAAAAACTCAGAAAGGCACCCCTAATTTTGGGAAACCACCATTTTGGAAGCTGGAATTTGATCTGGCGCGTTTGTCCTCTCTCAAGCTCGCCAGAGCACAGCAGGCTACCTTTGCAGCCTGCTGTGAGATTCTTCACGTTATGGCCCTTGTCTTTTTATGTAGCAATGGGAGCATTTACTTTTGGGTGGCTTCCTCCATGAATTAAAGAGCAATCCGCTCGAATCCAGTACTTTTGATCCAAAGACCCAGGTACTGAAAAGACCAACGAAGAACAAGGCCATATCCTATGGCCTCTTAGGATTATTATTGTCGAAGGCAGTAGTATCATAATATGCCTGGCTGTCCCAAACCCCATAAACCATTGCAATCCCCCTTCCCAATTCATTTCCCATGCTCTTTCCGATTTGCTTCTCTAATATCGACAGCAGCCCAACAGTGTAAACCCCACATACCCCCCTACATAACCCTACAGAATCCCATGCAGCCCTTAAGCCTTACACCCTAAGCCCTTGCAGCATCGCAGTTTCCGTTGCATTTTTCTTTTTCTCATTTGATTTCCCACTAAACCGTAAACCCTAAACCTTAACCTCGAAACCCTAAACCAATTCCTAGGATCCCCATTATTGGGATAGCAGCTGTAAACCCGATTTGCCAAAAATGGATCCAGGCTAAACTACAAGAATGCTCGGAGTCTGGGCTGCATGCGCCTAGGGTCTAGGGTACAGGGTGTGGGGTCTGGGGTTTAGGGTTTATTACCATCACTTAGGATTTGGGGCGAAGTTTTGAATTTTGAATTTGAAATTTTGAGATTAAGGAATTTTAAGAACCCTTGGTAATGGTAAGTTTATTGGCTTGAGGGTTTCAGGTTCAGAGCCTTGAGTTTGGGGGCTTGGGTTCTAGCATTCAGGTCCTGGGCTTGGAGTTTCAGGCCTCAGGGTTTCAGAGAGTTATGGTTACCACCTTAGCCAAGGTTAAGAGGGGATAACGTAGGTGGACTCCCCCCAACCTGCCCTAAACCCTAAACCCTATCATAGTCACTATTTTCAGGGTGGGGATCCACCCAACTCCCTTAACCCTAAACCCTAAACCCTAAGCAGTAGCTTCCAATTTCGTTTCCATTATCCCACTACTACAGACTATTACAGGTTGGGGGGTCCACCCGAGGGATACTTATCTCTAATTAAGGGGACCTGGCGGGCTGAAGGTCTCAGCTTTAGGGAATTCGGGATCTCAATGTTGCGCACAGCATGACCTGAAGGAGTATTGAGAAAGGTTATGGGTCTAGGAGGACGAAAGGTAGTAGAGCATGCCTGCACATGATTATGTAGACTCACGCGTAAGTACCTAAATGGTAGTTTCCATTTTCTCTCCCCTTATCCCTATTTATACCCCCTAAAGTATATATATATATAATATCCCATATATCCCCCCATATTATCCCTTGATCCCTAGAGTTATGGCGGTTTTTGCGTTCATGAGCTTAAAGCCGCACGCATGCTACTTGCGCAGCTGCTTGCTAGCCCTGACACCCTCAGGGTGGGCTGTGTTCAGCTCTAGCCTAGAAACATCAGATAGTAGTTTCCATGTTTCCCATAATCCCTACATAACCTTATATAACCCCGGTATATAGCCTTGCATTTATCCTTAGCAGTTTCCATTTTATTTTCCATTATCCCTATATAACCCTATATGACCCCTTTATATAGCCTTCATTATCCTCTGTAGTTTCCATTCTATTTTCTATTATCCCCATATAGCCGTATATAAACCCTATATAATCCCTATATAATCCCTATATAAACCCTATATAATCCCTATATAAACCCTATATCATCCCCATATAATCCCTATATCAGGGTTTTTGAGTTATGAGGTTCAGGATTCATGGTCGAGAGTCCAGGGTTGGCCCGGGCTCTATTTCTAGGGTACTTTTTGGGGTTTTATAGGGATGATGGAAGATATAATGGAAACTGCTATAATAGGGTATGTATTGGGGTTTCATAGGGATAATGGAAGATAGAATGGAAACTGCTAAAGTATTGTAGGATATATATTGGGGTAATATAGGGATAGTGGAAAATCAATTGGAAACTGCTACAGTATGATAAGGTATGAATTGGGGTAGCCTGAGGATAACGGAAGACAACGTCATGGGGACTATTATACTATAATAGGATAGTGGGTTGATATAGGGATGATGGAAGATATAATGGAGATTACTATAGTATAATGGGATATTGGAGTAATATAGGGATAATGGAAAATATAATGCAGACTGCTATAATATAATAGGATATCGGGGTACTAAAGGGATAATGGAAAGTAAAATGGAAACTACTACAGTATGATGGCGTATGTATTGGGGTAATGTAAGGATAATGGAAAATATAATGGAGACTATTATAGTATAATAGGATATATCTTGGGGTGATATAGGGATAATAAAATGGAAGCTACCATACTATAATAGGGTGTGTATTGGGGTTATAAGAATAAGAGCTGCGCCGAAAACCCTGGTAGGGCTAGTACTACTCTTTCACTTTCTTTTTCCGACTGCTGAACGCAGTGCTAAAGTGCTGATACAAATATTGTTTATTCTTTGCCAGCGCATGATGCCAAGGAAATTTCGGCGCAGCATGTGCTAGAATATGGATTTGTACCTGCTTATGCAGTAGTAAAGTGTCCCGACTACAGCAGCGCCCAAATCGGGGACCACCCCACTGTGAAGCTCCAAGGAACAAGTTCGATCTCAAGCTGGGCAGCATGCCCAGAACCAGGGCTGCGGGTCTACAGCCACGGGCAGTACCCACCAAAGCAACAACTTGCACATCAATCATAGGATTGCCATGGCATCCCTCCAATGTGCACTTCATAAGTCCTAACAAGCAAAAATGGCCCTGATAATCCCCACATATCCCACCACCCCCCATTGAGGGCCTTGATTTGTGGGAGTAGCCACATGATCGAAGCGTAGCAGTTCTGGGCTTAGATCATGGGCCATGCTCAAGCACAGGTCCCCGTAGCCGCACCAATTATTTTCCGGCACCTAGTATTTGCGGGTGCAAAAATGAGACAGGAATATTGGTGATGCTTGCCTGCTCTGTTTTTTCTTTGTCCTTTCTTGCCTCACTCCACTGTTGCTGTTGCCACAATTCCTGTGTGCCTATCCAGATGGCTGTATGTGACGCTGTAGACCGTAGCCGTAGACTTAGACAGCGTCTGAGTGACTCGCGTGATGCCAATCATCCCGGCTTGGTTGTGGTCGCTCTCAAGTAGATACAGGAAGCCAAGGGAAGATGCAGAATTCGTAGCCGTGGTTCTGTGAGAACAGGTGTTACGAGAATTTGTACCATGCATATCCAGTCCTTGTGTGCTGCGGGCACAATCCTGCTTTTTTTGGATTACACTTTGAAGTGCGCCACACCTGAAAGACTTGAGGTCAATGGACAGACGATGCCAGCATGGCATTATGCCTGCCGACTATCAATTTGAGGGGCGGTTTGCGGGAATGGGAAGATTCTGGACAAGAGTCTTGTGATGGTTTTGTCTGGTAACAACTGGAACGCAGTAAAATGACATGAGTAGTAGCCGGTTTTGCAATGTAAAGGGGTTATGCTTCAGGCCGCACACCTTGGAGGTATGCAAACTCCAGGCTGAAGTCTGAGGTGTGGGATAGAGCTTGTAGGATGGGCGGCTGGGGGCAGGATCTGTACTTGAGCTGCAGTTTTCGTTTACAGTGTGCAGCTGCATTGCATCTGTCAGGTTTAGCAGATTCCCTGCTTGTGCGGGGAAGATACGACGGCGGCGACGTCCGGGTGAGATGGCACATGTGGTGGCATGGGACCCAGTTGCTGTGATACGCTTTCTCATGCATATTGTTGTCCATGCATGTCCTAGCTTGGGAGCAGCATATGCGGATATCTGAATACGTTCGATACAAAAAGCCCAACAGTGATTTGACGCCTGCATCTCTGGATCATCCAAAACGGACTGCCTCGTTTGGAAAACGCTGCCCAGTGCCTTCTCATGCTAAGCTGGGAATTCCAAGGAATATAGACCCTTTCTCCAACATTCTCACGCAATCATATGGAACTTTAAGCCCTGAACCCTCATCCATGCCTGCCGTGTGATGCATGTGCCTACACCCTCAACCCTGAACTCTAAACCCACGACCCTGAACCCCATGGGTTGGATACTGTCTCCACTCAGGAACAGTTGGAAAGGAACAATATTAATTATGATAGTGTGAAGGGCTCTATATTACTCAATTACAGACTGTCACCCGCCCCGCTCATATTAAATACTCCCATTAATGGTACGTATCTTAGAGTATATGGGGAAACTTGAATATTAGGGGGAGGTACTTTAACCCTATACCCCATGGGCAGGTTTCATGGCTACTGCAATGCCTTCCGCTATGATCCAGACCGCCGGAAGGGCCGCGGTTCCGTGGGTTTGGGCGGGAACGTTGCCAAGTCACTGCAGGAGATTGAGCGAAGCTTGCTGTGATTTCAGGGATTTCTCAAACAGGGGCCAAATATTCTGGCGATTCTATGGAGGTTTAAGGGGGGCCCTTGAACATCACATGGCAATGTTTGAGAAATCCATAGTTGTTGTGTGATCACATGCCGTTTTCCAAAAAAAATATCTGTATTTTGGGGAGGGCTTCTTATATAGGGACCCTAAAGCCTAAACCCTAATCCTCTTGTTGTAGCTGCATACAGGTGAGGCTTTGCAGCGAGCAAGGGGGATAACTTGCATCATGGATCCGCAGGAGGTTTCCCAAAATTGGGGGTACCTTTAAAGGGGGATATAGGGATAATGGAAAATAGAATGGAAGCTAGCATAGTATATTGGGGTTATATAGCTTTGTGAGATAAGTGTCTGATAATGGAAAAGAAGATGGAAACTATTATAATATATGTAGGGATTACGTAGGGTATATATTGGGGCCATATTGGGATAATAGAAAATAACATGGAAACTACTTTCTGAGGTTCAGTTTCCATCGCCCAGTCTGCCGGCCGCTTGCAGAAGAACATCAGCCACGCCAGCGTCGTTCCACCTGTCTATCAGTCCGCTTCGAACGACTCAGGAAATGGTTACTTGGCTCTAATTCAGCTGCCGCGGCCGTGCTCTGGGGTCGCTGCAAGCCCCCTGCACGGTTTCATCGGGTTTCAATGTTTGACAGATGTGTGCTTACATGGTTGACATGAGACTTGAGCATTCTCAGACTCATGCCGGGGCGCCTTCTCACTTCACTTTGATGGTGTTGGTCTGAAAGCATGAGAGCATCTGCCGGTGACATTGCAACAACGCAGCCGCTTTGGCTTTCCCCGCTTAGGGCGGTCTCGAAGGCAGCATGGGGAGAAAGTTAGTCACTAGTTGCGCAGCCCGGCATCTTGATTCTCACAAGTCAAGACGGGGGTCAAACCACTGTCGTATTGACCTGTCTTAGTCAGTGCTGCAGACGCTGCCCGCCCAGTTTTTGTCGCCGCCCTGCACGTGCACCAGAATTCGTTACAGTCTTGCCGCTTACATGTCCTCGGCATCGGGCGCCTTCGCAATCTTCCTAGAGCAGCAGCTGCGCGAGCTGCACCAACAGCTGGTGGAGAAGCATGAGGAGTAACAGGGTCTCTTTTTCAATTGCGCTTTTTCTTGCAGAGCTAAATTGCCACTCGTCAGCAAGAGTTGCAGGAAGAACCAGGGGCGGAGGAGGAGCAGGAGGAGGAGGAGGAGGATCACGAGCATGAGGAGGAGCAGGAGGAGGAGCAGGAAGAGGAGCAGGAGGTGGAGCAGGAGCAGGAGCAGCAGGAGGAGGAGGAGGAGGAGGCGGCACAAAAGGACGAGGAACACCAACAAGGAAGGTGAATAGCAAGCATGACACAAGTATTGCGAAGAACAGCCAAGCACGTCGTCAAGAATAATGGCAGGACGAACAGTCACAAAACTGGCTTCTGCAACAAACAGGAGCATTCGAGGTCATAATGCCAAGAAGCTAAGAAACTGTTGCAGCAACATGCAAGATGCCGTATGATCAAATGAAGGACATTAATCCTAGCCTTAGATATTAACCATCCCCCCCCTCCCCCCCAAAAAAAGAGAGAAGAGATAACCAATGCAACACCTTACAACAAATGGTTCCACTATATATATATATGTATATATTTATACACTCATATATATGCATATATATATATACCAAGGGGAGGGGTCCTCCTTTATAAGGCGGGTGCCGGAGGGGGGGGTTCTTATCAACGCAGCCCTGACCCTCTAGATTGGACCCTGCCTCATACGGGTTTTCAGATACGCATGTTGAACCTAGGGGTACCTTTATAGGGTTATATAGGGATATACAGCGCCCATATGGGGATATAAGGTTTGGGGTTTCCCAAAATTAGGGGTACCTCCTTGGGGGAGTGCATAGATTTATACTTGGGAAGCTAACTACCAAATGTTGTTTGCCGGGAGGAGCTTATGCTCTCCATCTTGGAGACTGGGCAGCATTGATCTGCGGGCTCTCTCGGATTTGATGGCTGCGGTTTTGGAGATGGGTGAAGGGTTCAGGGCCCAGTGATACAATTCTGTTCTGCAGAGTACGCTTTGGGACATTTCCTTTTTAGTCACAGTGGGCACAATTCGTGGTCCCTCTCTCTGACAGACAGGGGTGCAGATATCGGAGCCATTCATCTTTGATTTTGAGGGATAGACCTGGGATAGAGGTTCGCCTACCTGAAGACGCTGAGGTTCGGGTTCCCTCTGTTCAGGCAGATGGCTTTTCGTTTGTTAGCCAGGGGTGAAGACGTGGTGAGAATTCTGTGCCAAGCAGATGGATGGTCTGCACTTCCCAGTTCATGGTCCTTTCAAGGCAAATCTACGTGTGGCAGCTTGGGCACGGCTTTTGGGGGAAGCGCGTGGCAGTGGAAGCAAACAACCCCTGGTGCCCAGCCCCAATTTCCCTTTTTAAATTCCTTGAGGCTTGAGGTGAACATGGACATGGCACTTGGGTGTATTTGGGGCCTAGAAGCGCTTCTTCATTTTTCCCCCATTGCCCCCCGCACCCCAACCCCCATATAGTATCATTGCAGAGCCTGGTTCTTGAGGGCGGAGAGTCAGTCGGGACTAGTCAGGGGCCCTCAGTTGGAGGCAGAGGAGTGAAGCCGTAATCTTGACAACAGAATGCTTGAGACACCCGGCCCTTCCTTCCACATGCTTTGGGGGTTTAGGGTTTAGGGTTGGTTACTTCCCCTAGAAGATCTACTGTTGCTTGGAAGGGGCAGACATGCATTCTAGGCTCATGTTCGAAAGTACCTCTACCGTTACAACTGGGCACACTATGACAACCACCTCACCTTCCATGGAGTTTGTATGGAAAATGGTCCGAAATTGGCCTAATCCCAGGCTCTGAAATTCTGTCACAATGGCCAATCAAAAGGCCTTTACTAGCCTCATACGGATTCTTGATCTTGGCGCAGCCCATGTCCGTGGAATGAGGACCTGGCGGGGTTTGTCCAATTTTCGGCATTATTTCTGGGGTTTGTGCACATGGACAACAGGGGCTGTATTGCCATACTTCTGCCAGCCCCGCGTATTCAAATCTGAGCACTTGCTAGTAGCCCATTGCAACACCTTTCCTGCTTCCTCCGTTGCCCTTCTGTAGCTACAGAAAGTGCTATTTCGAACCTACATCTAATTTCTACTGTTGTGTCGGTCACGACCCCAAAACTTCAAACTCCAAAACCGAAGCCCCTGAACCCT